GTTGATCAGGGTGCTGCTTCTTGGTCTTCATTCTCCTGGTACTTCCACTTGTTTGCAGGAGGCACAGGGTGACTGGTTCACGCCCATAAAGATCTCCTCCCTTATTAAACATCACACCTTACACCAAGTGGAATAGGGGAAATAAACTGGCTATCTTCAGGCTTGAGATGGTTTTTACTACAGAGATAAAGCAGCTTCTTTCCTTCCAGAAATCCAGTAGTTTCTGCCCCGAATACTCACATACCGAAGTTGTTCAGCTGCCTGAAAGCCAATCTGATACATGTTGTTCGCCTAGCTGTTCCTAGTTCTAGCTTCTCTCTAACTAGACTTCCACATTGCTTGAACCAACAGCTGTGTAAACACACTTACAGTAGTGTCAGCTGACCTGCTTTTAAAAAATGCAGCAATTGTTGGTTTCCAAATCAGTTATTTTCCCATTTAAGTCTACAATCAAAAATCTGAAAATGATACAGTCTTTCCAATGTAGGCACCCGATAAACTGTGCTTTAACAATGTAAGATGTGACTAACATGGTCTGCTTTTCATAATGCAATTTTCCTTGTCTTTTCTGCTTTATTCTTCCCCAAAGCATGGAAGTAGATACCTGGCAGAAAGTTTGTGAAACATTACTTAAAAATCATTTGCTTTGCTTCGGTGGGAAGTGCTGAGTTCTGCAGGTTATTCTGATTTTAAACATTGCTCCTGAATACATGATCCAGTGTAGTACTTAAGGGACGCTGCTTTGTCAGAGATATTGCCTTTGGATGGGACATTAAGTTAAAGCTCTGTCTCTTACAGGTGGATGTGAATGATTCGATGGCATAAGTTGAAACAAATCAGTCATTCTAGCCGATATTTATCTTTAAAACAACACTATTCAAACAATTTATTTTCTCTGACATCCATTTTGGAGGCCCATTTCCTACTCTTTTCAAGACTTTAGCCTCCTTTGTGTACAGCTCCATAAAAACCTGGAGCAGCTTTCAGTAGCTCACTCGCCGCAGTGAATGTTGGCAGGGCTGCTTAAGTTACAATGCCTTCTTAGAACTAATCTAATTCTAACCGACACCTACATGGATATTTTCCAGGAGACACTAGTTGACTTTTCCATCCTTCAGAATAGACGTAGACAGGGCCCCAGTGCTACTGCGGGTGTCTAACGTTTCAAGTTGCCACCATTGTTTTTCTTAGACAGGATTATTGATTAGGAATAGCCACATTATTGATTAGGAATAGCCACTTACATGTCTGTAGTAGACATGTAAGATCAGGCTTCAGGATTGTCGTCTGGTTCTGCATTTGCAGCTATATAGCATTCAGCCTTGAATTTAACTGGGGAAACTAGGGAAAGAAGATGAACTTTCGGCCTAAAGTCCAGCCAACTCCTGTGGAAGTAGGCTCTGGCGTGGAATTTATGAGATGTCTAAAATTAGTGAATTCTTTGTTATGTTGGAAAAGGGAGAAAATTTAGAAATATCACATTTGAAGGAAGAATTGAGTAAGTTCAAAAAGGTTCAGTCTTTGGCATGTGAGAAGCAACAGTGAGGTAGTCCCACTAGTAAAGATGAGATCACTGTTTAACACTGGGACTGTTGGCACCTAACATACAACATTAATCCTCACTCTTATTTTTATTTTATGTTGGTTGAAAGGCAGAAAGATGTAGTAGTTCTCTGAATATTTTTCCTTTCCTCCGACAGTTACTGATTTTTATTAGGGACAGTTCCATGTGCGTTCGGGCTTTTTGGTCCCCTGATCTAAGAAAGGATAAACTGGCATTGGAGGCAGTCCAGAGGAGGTTCAGGTTTGGAAGAAAGGTGAAGTAGGTTGAACCTGTATCCAATTCAAAGAATGAGAAGTGACCTTATTAAAACATACAAGACTTTTAGAGGGCTTTACAGGGTAGATGTGGTGTTGTTGTTTCCCCTTATAGGAAAGTCTAAGATCAGAGGGCATAAGATTAGAGTAAGGAGTCACCCATGTAAGGCAGAAATGAGGAAGAATTTCTTCTCTCACAGGATAGTGAATCTGTGGAAATCTTTATTGCAGAAAGTTGTTGAGGCTGGATCAATAAGTATATTCAACGCTGAGATTGATAGCTTCTTAATCTGTAAGGGAATATAAGGGTTATGGGGAAAAGGCAAGAAAGTGGAATAGAAGATTGTCATATCAACAATGATCTTATTGAATGGTGGAGCAGACTCGATGGGCTGAATGGACTGTTTCAGCTCCCACATCTCATGGATGTATATCAGTGTCTTACCATTGCCCTGAGCTTATATGAGTGGTGTTGGGTTATCAACTGTATAAAATATCACAGCTTAATTCTGTCCTCCCCTGCCATCCAGAAGTACATTCCAACACTGGTTGCTTGATAAACACCAAGGATGATATTTTATTAGTTTACTCAGTTTTCCAAAACAATTAAAAAAAAACACATGGTATTTTAAACATGACCTGACTGCTCGTACCTAACTCAGCAAGACCATGAACAAAACACTGAGACAGGATTTAGAGAGGATTTACCATAATCATTCCAGGGATAACGGACTTCAGTCCCACAGATAAATTGGATGAGCTGAGAAGAGAGAAGATAGAAATGTTTAAATCATGAGGGGCCAAGAGAAAGTTGATGGGGAGAAATGGTTCTCTTTGGCAGAAAGGCCAAGAACCAGAGAAGTGATACAAGGTGATTGGCAGAAGACCCAAAAGCAATATGTGTATGAACTTTGGTATGGTGTGAGTGGTTAGAATGTGGAATGCACTGCTCGAGATTGTGGTAGAAGCAAGGATTGTGGTTTTGAAAAGGAAATTGGATAAGCACCTGGATAGACAACTTTTGCAGGGCTATGGATAAAAGGCAAGGGTTGCTGAATTAGATAATAACCCTTGATGAAAGCCAGCAGGGACTTAACTGGCTGAATGGCCACCTCGTGAACTCTAATCATTACATAATTTCATATCTGAATTCCCTGTGCTCCTTCCCCAATCTGCTACAATTTCATTCCAAATCTTCCTTTGCTTGAAATCACATGAGGATTTTGTTTCCCAGCCTTAGTACTTACACAGGCACTTCATTCACCAATTTATGAATTTCACTAGTTTTGTTATTTGACCATCTAAGTAAAGTAGCTTACAATGCACTGGCCTACACACTTTTCCCTCATTGAGATCATTGGCTCCAGTTTTCTTCTTTAAACCTCTAATGGTGCTGCACTTCTTGGTGGCTCACTTACTGAGTTCACTGCCGCTTATGGGACTGAGCTTGAGAGACAAGGAAGGACCCATATTTGAAACTTTCTTGATGTAGAGTTTGCTGCCTTTACCAGTTCAACACAAGTGGCCTTGTTGCCTAGATCCAGTGGAAATTTTCCTCCAGTAAGTCCTGCTTGGTTGTTTCCAGGTCAATATTAGATGGGAATGAGGACAAGATTGACTCTCTGCTTGATGTTTGCATTGAGAAACTGGAAGATTCCAGGTTTGAGTCCTTCACAATGCACAGCATTAGCTGAAGTAGCCAGGGTGCTACTGTTGGCCCCTGCTGAGTAAGTGAGAGGAAGTTTGTGCAGAGACTGCAGCTGGAAATGCATTTGTAGAAATCAAGTTCAGCTACAGTTCTCTCCTGGCCAGAGATTGGCTGCTGTCCCTGAACTTTACACTAAATATGTCTTGAGAGAAGATAACCAGGAGGGAGGAATGGATGTGGAAGCAGGAACATATTCCTTTAAGAAGTGTTTCCTGTAGTCAGAGATACTTCCACCTTACATTAGAAGCTCTGTATCTTCATTTGCTTGAAGGTGGTTTATTTATCCCTGAGGAGATCTGCTGCTTAAGTACAGTAACGGACAACTGTTTCAAGAGAAACTTCCTGTAACTTAGCAAACCCCTTCAACTTGCCAAGTTAATTGCTAACAGTAAATTTCCCCTGACAAACAATAACTTCTGTTTAAAACATACCCGTTGCTGGAAGTTGAATGAGGGAAAGGGTAATTGAACTCTCCCGATAGACATTTCTTCACTGATGAGAGCTGGTTATGAACCATGCCCTGGTTATATTTGGAAGTAATGGATGTTTCATACTTTCTGAGGTCCTGAAAATCCAGCCCATTCGTGTCATTGTGTTTGTGAGAATTTGTAGAAGGTGTAAGACACTCAGTTGGATTACAGATGGTTACTTGCTGCCTCAAAATGCACAGCTGCCTCTCAATATCTAGAAAAGAGACAGAATTTTATTTATTCATATCCTGCCACATCTCAACATGTCCCATAGAGCTGCATAGCCAAATAGGTACTTGTGAAGTATATTCAGTTGTAATATAGACAGTGTGACAGAGAATTATGGTACAGCAACATTCCCACAAACCACAGCATGCTAAAGGATCCACTCAGCTCATTTTGTAATCCTGCTTGAGGGAGGGGATTTCACCGGGGCAAAAAAGCTCAGCAGGTCTGGCAGCATCTGTGAAGAAAAGTCAGAGTTAACGTTTCAGGTCCAGTGACCCTTCCTCAGAACTGGAGGATTTCACCGGGGCACCTGGGAGAACTGACCTGTAATATTTAGTTGAATGGGAGGGACTGTAATTTGACTAATTCTTTTATTGATTTTTATTATCTCTTCTTTTATTTGTATTGGAACTTTAGGTTGAGTACAGAAGAAATTCCCGATTGCTTCTGTATCTAGCCCTGTGCTGTACCTCTCCTGGGAGTATTTGATGGGGACAATCTGGTGGAAGTTGTACTTTTAGTTTAAAAGATTAGAGAGAGCTTTTCCTTTCAGCTTAAGAATAGAGGGAGCTTTACTCTGTATCTAACCCCATGCTGTCCCTGTTGTTGGGAGTGTTTGATGCGGACAGTATTGAGGGCACTTACTTTCAATTTAAAAGATTAAAGACAGCTTTAGTCTCTATCTAACCCTGTGCTGTACCTGATCTAGAAGTCACTGGTGGGCAGTCCACAGAAATTTTATTCTGCATCTAACCATCCATTATTTATTCTACTAGGCCTCAGTGACTCATTCAACATTAATGTGAAGCAAGCCAGGATCTTCAAAGGACCAAAGAAGAGTCAGTTTGGATATAAAGTTTTACAACATGAAGCAGAAGGTCAGAAATGGTAAGTTTGATGATCTGTTGGTTTTAAACCAATCTTTCCAACTACCTTTGAATTCTTTAGACACAAAATCATTTTTATTTTTATCAAAGCTTCTCAATCATATATATAAAACCTTACAAATGGGTACAAAACATGTGCCCCTAACCAGTTTTCTATATTGCGAATGTGGAGAACAAAATTAATCAGTGTTTGACTATTCATTTGATATCTACTGACCCCTGCTGACTACATGTGAGTGCAAGTCTGGCCAAGGGCAAAATGACACTCTCTGTGGAAAGTGTAATGAGTTGTCACCTGATACATGAAAAATCACAATTTGGGAAAAGTACAAGAGAATGGATAGTGTTCACAAAAGAGGAGTAACCTGGGAAAGGAGAAAGAAATCTCTCTTTTCGAAACTAGCAGCTCAGGGGAGAAGATAAATCTGCAGGTATCACCTGACTGTGAGATGCAGACTCAAGACATTTGTGCCCAGTTTCCAATTAATAAACTCTCCCCTCAGGTATGATGCAGTAAATACTGCTAGTGGAATCATACCTGGCTTCGCTTATTGCTATGATTTAAGAATGCCTCTGGTTATAAACCAAGGGACCTGCTTCTTCCTGCTCAATTCCTGTTTGTGCCTGAAATCAGTACAACTCCATTCCAGCTATCATAACTTGTCTGAACCTCACTGATACCGATCCACTTAATTCACTGCTCAAAAATAATTTCTGGAACTGGAAGGTGACCTATTACTGAGTAAGATCTTGATACACCAAGTGAGTAAAGGTACAGAATTTAAATCCGAGTGGCTGCTGTTAGAACCTCTTCAAGAAAACAATTTGCTCTGTCACTTTGCCTTGCTGTGTGAAATGTTGATGTTGTTGTTAGGGGAGCAGTTACAAAGGTGCTGATTACCTTTCAATGCTTCATCCAGTTAGTACTCTGTTTGCGAGTGCTGCGGCTGTGACTGTCAGTAAGTTATTCTGTGTTTTGGTAAAGTTGGAGTATGGACATCTCAGCAAGCCTGATTCTGACCCCACCTCACATTCATACAGACACTGTTTCCAGCAGGGACTACTGGAGAAAAGATTGGGTAAAAGGAACCTTAACTGAAATCCCCTCCTTGTCTCTGCACCACTGAAACTGGCCTTGCTTGACCTTAGCTAACTCAGCAAAGATGACGGTAGAACTTGGAATGTACTAGTTGGTATGGCAAGAGGATGAGATGTTTGCCTGGAGAGGAGTCAGGCAAGTCAACCTATTAAAATTGCCAGTGTTGTATGTTGAAACGATAAATGATTACCTGTACATGACAGTGATGTGTCTGTAAGGCTGTGTGTGCAGGTGTTTAGTCTTAATCATTTGTGGGATGTAGGCTTCACTGGCTGAGTCAGCATTTATTATCCATCCCTAGTTGCCCTTGAGAAGTTGGTGCTGAGCAGCCTTCTTGACCTGCTATAGGTAGATTTGCAAAGCTGTGAGGGAGGTGTAATAACTCAGCAAACTGGAAAGGAGCATTCTTTACTGTTGAATACCAAGGTAGAGCCACTAATCATGGCATTCCTAGACTAGTCCCAGCCCAGGTCAGACAATTCTGTAGAAATAGCAGGAACTGCAGATGCAGGAGTCAAAGATAACACAGCGTGGAGCTGGAGGAACGCAACAGGGCAGGCAGCATCAGAGGAGCAGGAAAGTTGACGTTTTGGGTTGGGACCCTTCTTCAGAAATGGGGAGGGGGAAGGGAGCTCAGAAATAAATAGAGAGAGGAGTGGTGAGGCTGGGGAAGGTAGGTGGGATGGTGATAGGTGATTGCAGGTAGCGAGTGGTCGGAATTGGTCAGTGAGGTGGGAGGGGCGGATAGGTGGGAGAGAAGATGGACAGGTCGTGTCAGGTCAAGGAGGCGGGGATGAGAGGGAGGGTTGGTTGGATGAGGCCGGGGCATGGGGAGGTTTTAAAACTGGTGACATCCATGTTTAGGTCATTGGGCTGTAGGCTCCCGAGGTGGAATATGAGGTGCTGCTCCCCCAGTTTTCTGGTGCAATTCTGTAGACCTGTCCCTAGGCCTGCTTTAAAGTGTTTTCAGAGATTTTATTACATAACCTCTGGAACAGGTGGGACTTGAACCTGGTCCTCCTGGCACTGAGGTAGAGACGCTACCACTGCAGCACAAGAGTCCCTAGGTCTGCTTTATTCAATATGTTTTGTAATCAACCTATTACAGAGATGTTAATACATAGCTAGAGTAGGTGGGACTTGAATTCAGGTCTCTTAGCTCAGAGATAGGTACACTGCCACTGTGCCACAAGAGCCCTTTATGGGTCTGCTTGTTTTTTTTGTATCTGGGAGGTTTATTGTACACAACAGAATAATTTTCCTACCACCAAATCGCTATGATTTTTTTTTTTGTTTGTAACTATTAACCACCACCAACAGTAATTGCTTGTGCAGCCGGTTAGAAATTTACATGCAAAGCTTGTAATGGGCAGTGTGAACCATCAAAAGGGAGGTTATGGAATTGGTCCGCTTTATTATTTTTTAAATGAACCTGTTCAGACATGTTATGAGATGTAACTGGGGCAGGTGGGATTTGAACCTAGGCCCCCTGACTCAGAGGTAGGGACACTACCACTGTACAACAAGAGCCCCCTGGGGTCTGCTTTATTTTCTAATCAACCAGTTCAGAATTGTTATTACACATCTCTGGAGTAGATGGGACTTGAATCTGGACCTTTTGGCTCAGAGGTAGGGACACTGCACCACAAGAGGTCTATTTGGGTCTACTTTTTTAAAATTATACACGGAAGGGTTATCACACACAGCAAATGGCTTTGCCACCACAAAATCACTGTGACTTTTTATTTGTTTTTTTCCAAACAAATAACCATCACCAGTAATCATTGGGTTTTTTACATATATGGAAGTTTTAGCGAATGACTTTGGCACCAACAAATCACCGTGACTTTTTTTGTTCTTTAGCTATTAACCACCACCAGTAATTACCCATGCAGCCAATTAGAAATTTACATGCAAAGCCTGTAATGGGCAATGTGAGCCATCAAAAGTGAAGAAGGGTGTAGGGAGAGTGGGAAGGGGTGAAATAAAGTGGAGTTGGAGGGGGAAATAAAACACTGATTCCCATATGGTGACCATCTGTCTCTAAAGGAAAAAAGATCATTGATGGACACTGCATGCTCCCTCCTCAGTGACTCCCAGGCACAAATGTAACCACGGAAGAGGGGCAGGCAGTCAGCAGATACGACCCCCTCCACAGCCTGCTGCCTGGATCTGTTTATAGCCAGACAGGCCAAGGCCAGGGGGTGACCCATGAGGGGGTTCTCCGATCTGCCCACACCCCTCTGCACTGGATGCCCAAAATTAAGAGCATAGGGCTGAAGTGCAATCAAAAAACACAACAAAAGATTTTTCAAATAACTAAAAAGAGGGCACAAATGCCCACAAACAATGCACACATGGTCCATGATGCAAAGTAAACAGTCAGGCTGGAACCCACAGTCTGCAGATGGGTCTGCTTCTTTTCTTTCCTTTAAGAATCAAACACATTGCTGTGAGACTGGAGTCACATATAGGCTGGCAGTTTACTTCTCTAAAGGACATTAACAAACTGGTAGATTTCTTCTAACAATGATCTCCTGGTCATCAGTAGATTCTTAACTTCAGACTTTTTTTTATTATTGAATTCAAATTTCACTATCCACTGTGGCAGGATTCAAACTTGGGACCCCAGAGCATTATCGTTATCTCTGGATTAATAGTCCAGTGATAATGCCACTGAGCCATCACCTCCCCCATTGGTCTGCTTTACTTTTGGACTGTTATTCCTTTGTGTTCTTTTTTATAACTATTTTCTAATCACCCTGTTCAAAGATGTAATTACACATCTCTGCAGGAGGTGGGGCTTGAACCCAGGCCTCCTGGCTGAAAGGTAGAGATACTGCCACTACACCATTAGAACCCTCTCTTGGTCTGCTTTATAAAGAGGTCAGGTGGTGAGTTCCAGCTGGGCAGGCCATTGCCTGTTACCAGGGAATTCATACCGAACAAACTCTATTTACTTATTAAAAATTATTTAGCCTAATTTTCTAATCAACCTGTTGAGAGATGTTATTACACACCTCTGGAGCAGGTGGGATCTGAACCCAGTCTCTTGTTCCAGAGGTAGGAACACTACCACAGTGCCATAAAAGGCCTCTCAACAAGCTCTGCAAGGAGATTAATTAGTGATTCCCAACAGGCCTTGTAGGGGTTATCACAGGAAGGAATTCCATGATTTTGACCCAATGACACGGAAGGAACGGCAATGTACTTCCAAATCAGGGTAGTGAGTGACATAGACAGGAGTTTGGAAATGGTGATGTTCCTATTTTTATCTGATGCCCTTGACCTTCTAGTGATTTTGGGTTTGGAAGGTGCTGTCTAAGGAGCCTTAGTGCATTCATCCAGAAAAGTGGGGAATATTCCATCACACTCCTGACTCATACCTTTAGATGGTGGATAGACTTTGGGGAGTCAGGAGGTGAGTGACTCAGTGCAGGATTTGTAACCTCTGACCTGCTTTTTTTAGCCAGAGTATTTATATGGTGAGTCCAGTTCAGTTTCTAGTTAATGGTATACCCCAGGATATTGATAGTGTGGGCTTCAATGATGGTAGTGCCATTGAATGTCAAAGGGCAATGGTTACATTCTCTCTTGTTAGAGTTGGTCATTCCCTGGCATTTGTGTGACACAATGGTTATTTGTCATTTTTCAGCAGTGAATGGGCAGTGCCTTGGACCTGAATGTTTCTGGAGACGGAGTGTTTTTAAGGCCTTCTTTGACTGGTGGGCACCACAGGGGCTGGACTACAATTTAAATTTGATACATTTCCCTTCCTTGATAAGTTTTCCTTTTTGTGAGAGATGTAAGAGATGTCAGTTAGTTAATTTGTTTATTGTTTGCTGAGATGGGTATAAAGAGATACTGGAGATCTTGGAGTGTAGTTGGTAGTGCCATGTCTC